AAAACTTTTATCGATGGTTAGAGGCACACTGAACCTAAACGTTAAGTTGGATAGGTCACGTCTAATGAAGTCAACGCTCCGTCCCCCTCGTGTGCTAATCCAAAGTCCCGAAACCTTTCAGCTCGAGTTACAAAATCGTTTTCAGTGCCTAGAAGATTGCAATGCAGTGGACGATATAAATGACAAGCTCGTGGAAACTGTCCATGCGGTCGGAGCTAAGTTTTGCAAGACTCGGCGCAGAAGAACACAAAAACTCTCCGATCATACTCTTAATCTCATGGCTGTTAGATGGGAAATGAAGTTGCAGTCTTCAGTAGATTTGATAGCATACAGGCAACTAAACAGACAGATCTCCAAACATATACGGCGGGACTTACGCAACTTTAATACTGCTGCTAATACTTTGCCAGAGATCTGTCTGCCAGAAAGAGCCAACTGTCAAAGCTGAAGACCGAGTGTGGCAGCATCGTTGCCTGGACATCTGAGATTTTGAGTGAGATTGAGAGGTTCAATGGGCAGGTGTACACGTCATCGTTGGAGCCACACGCAAGTGTGAGTAACAATCCAAGAGCGAGTCTTATCCGACACTATTCCGATGATATCCCGAACGTCAGTCTGAGCGAGATTAGAATGGCTCTCCAGCACCTTAAAAACGGTAAGGCTCCAGGCGAGGATGGAATTACAATGGAGCTTCTGAAAGTGGGTGGAAAACGGGTACTTAAAGTCCATCAAAAGCTCTTTAATTCCCTCTTCCATGGTGGCACTACTTCGGAGGCTTGGAGCAGAAGTGCAGTAGTCTTGTTCTTCAAGAAAGGTGACAACGCTCTCTTGAAGAACTACAGACCGATTTCCCTTCTGAGCCTCCGAAACAAGCCGGTTTCCGAAAAGGCTTTAGCACTATAGACTACATACATACCCTTCGGCAAATTGTACAGAAGACTAAAGAGTACAATCTGCCACTTTGTCTTGCATATGTGGACTATGAGAAAGCCTTTGATTCCGTCGAAATTTGGGCGGTGCTACAGTCCTTCCAGCGGTGCCAAGTGGATTGTTGGTATATAGAAGTGTTGAAGTGTTTGCACAGTAGGGCTACGATAGCTATCCGAGTACAGAACCAGAGTACGAAACCTATCCAACTGCAGAGAGGTGTAGGACAGGGTGACGTTATATCCCCGAAACTCTTCACCGCTGCTTTGGAAGACGTTTTCAAGCTATTGGACTGGAAAGGATAAGGTATCAACGTCAATGGCAAGTACATCACTCACCTTCGATTTTCCGACGATATATTCCGTATGGCAGAATCGCTGGAGGACCTAAGCACTATGCTGAATGAACTCAATAGTGTCTCCCAACGGATAGGTCTTAAGATGAAGATGGACAAAACGAAGATCATGTATAACGTTCATGTCACACCTACACCGGTAGTTGTTGGTAGCACTTAGCTCGAAGTTGTTGACGATTACGTTTACCTGGGACAAATAGTCCGATTAGGTAAGTCCAACTTCGACCGAGTGGTCAGTCGACGGATTCAACTCGGTTGGGCAGCGTTCGGGAGATTATGACATATCTTCTCGTGAGACATGCCTCAGAACCTCAAAACTAGATTGTTCAACCAATGCGTGTTAGCAGTGATGACCTATAGATCTGAGACGTGTTCCTTCACTGCTGGCCATATGAGGAAGCTCAAAGTCGCTCAGCGAGCTATGGAAAGGACATTGCTCGGCGTTTCTCTGTCTAAGGGTTAAATCCACTGACCTCTATACAAGTACGCGTTAAATCTCATGAATGCTCAGAACATTCTTTGGTTAATGGCAAACCGTAATGACATGACCAATAACTAATGCTGGGACATTACAACGGAAAACGTAGATGGTCTATAAGAAGGAGGATACTTTCAGTTTAAGTTCTTACTCCGAGGATACTATCTTCTATCTTTACATATTGTACTCCTTCCACGTGACCGCATCAAACAAAGAGCGCCTCGAATCGTTGACAACCGTGTAATTTCGGATCGGATCGATTCACTAGCGTTGCGAAGAGATATTGCATCCCTTTGCATTTACCATAGGACGTACTCAAAGGAATTGTTCGGATTCATTCTAGCCGCTTCCAACATCGCATATCACGACAAAACTTATGATAGCATCAACCCCATCTGAATCACAGTCTAATATGATGCTTACGCATATCTGGATTCTTGGCCGTTCACCACTGAGTGATTTATTAGGAGTTTCCTCTCACGACTTCTTTGTGGGATCGTCTACCACCGGCGGTGATTTTTCTGGATCGATACAACTTAGACTTTCAAGACTTACTTACTTTTACTCCTTTTTAAAAGATCGTCTACGCATCTGCAATTTCTCTTGTGTTGCAGTCATTTATGGGCAGCGGTCGACTCTTACCATCAGGTACCGCATACTCATTAGTTTTCTTTTTTTTGTATAAAAAAAAGATCAATGGTCTAAGGATTCTATGACGAAAAATCCACTGTGAAAAACAGTAGATGATAAGTCTTTGCGAGGGGTTTTAGTCAGGGCTCCGGCATTCGTTCAATGTCTCGGGTTATATACCTACCCGCTAGCGTTCTCCCGGGAATACAAGAATGATATGGGATGACCTAAGAATATATATAATGGCACACGCAATAAAGATGGGTAATTTAATTAATAGTTAAAAATAAATAACACATTTATAAAATAAATAAAATTAACCACAATGAATAAAATTATCATAATATCTGAACCATTTATTAAAATTGTCTTAATATTCATCATAAAAATTAAAATATCTTTTGTATTCTAAGTCTATGGTTTGAAGTGTTAATATTATTTTTATTTTAACAGATAGAAAATGATATTGTTAACTTATGGGAGTCACGCCAATTTAATCGGTGATAGAAGTGTCACTAAGAACTAAAATTTAGTCCCCCCAAAATGGTGAGTAAACACAAGAAAAATAAAGGAAACTAACTAAATATAGCGTATATGAGTTAATTAATTTAATACAATACAAACTTTCAATAAATCGGATCAAAATAACCGTAAACTACTTATAGTTAGTTAATTGCTTAAAACTTTTAAGCATTTTTCTTAAAAGTTTTAAGGAATTAACCACGCGCGACCTGATAGTACAAGTAGGTAGCGGGGCAGAGAATCATTTATTATTTTATAAAACTCAAACATATTTGATTATCAAACAAATAAAATAATTATTTCATTTGTCTTTTATTTATAAACATACTACTTTATAAACATCATGTTAGTCTTCGACACACAGATAAACTCTGCTCTGTTGCAAGTAGAACAGCGTTATTTAACAAAAGCGTGTTTTCAAATTCTATATCCACTAATGTTTTGTGTACGTTCCATTTTTTGTTATTTTATTTACTTTAAATGATTTCCAAAAATATTGTATTTCGTATGCCCACAGGGTAGGACATAGTTGAACTTGATTATATAATAATGTATCTAACATCTATGTAATACCTATGATCCACGAAATAAATGATTATGATTATGATTTATTTTATCATCTTTGTACAACCACAGTGCGTTTGCTCGATGATGCAGCCGGAGGTCGCGCGGTAGGCAAAGCGTCCTCAACTTCCGGTACGCGTGCAGAAGGAATGCAGCTTGCAGTCAACGTTTGGCATTATTATTAAAATTTTGTGGGCTATTATAGCGGTATTGTAGGTTTTTACTATTGAATGGGAGTAATGTATCTGCTACGTAGTAACATTATTTAATCTGTCTTAGTACGTAGTACTATTATTTATTCTGTGAAAAAACTTGATCGGCGGCGACTTGCTTCTCCTGTTTCATTGTTTAAATAATGGTATGAAGTGAATGTTGATACATAAAAGTGTTGCAACATTGTATATTTTATGTCGGCGCATTTAACTATTAGTGGGAACAATGTAACTAGTGCTCCAATCTTAATGAATACTACAAGTTATTTTGTCCGCTGAGTTACCATAAGAATTTAAAATACTGTTGTCATCCACTGCCCTCTGGCTTAAGCTGGGAATGTTCCTAAAACTCCGCAATGTGATGCATTAACATGATGTGGGGATGTTTTAAAACAGTTTACTATAATTTCCTTTTATCAGACGCAAAAGTAGATACAACCGTAAGTGTCTGAGTATAGTAGAGTATAGTATTTAATGTGATCTGTGTTTGGTATAGTATTGCTAAAATATAACATTTTTAACATTTTTACAGACCAATGTAAAATTTGTCTTTTGTGAAAAGTTTTTTTTATAAAGTTTTGATATTCATCGTTATAAATTGAGAACTTCCTCTTTGTTTTCATTCATTTAATATCAATAGAATGCTGGTTATATTTAGATTTACTTGTATCTATTTACTTGACATATTTTATAAAACTGTACACTATATTAATATTAAATTAAAATTCGAGTGATTAATAATTATTATAATTTGGTGATAGAAGATATTTAATCTTTAGTTTCCATTTCCGTTTATTTTTAAATAGTAAGTAATGTATTACTAAAAAAAGAATCATTCCACTTTTTTAACATACGTTTCATTGCATAATCTCTTTATTTTCTGAGTTTGCAATCAATAATTGATTGTTATTTTCTAATCAAGCCATGCTGGCAGCACTGGTCGTGTCTAGTGAATTGTCAAGTGTCACTGTCAGTCATGGTGACATTACAAATATACAAGTGAATGTCAGAGTCACCCGTAGACTTCGACTATGCTCGAAGCCCGTAGATATACCGTAGACCAAGGAACATACTACTCTCTAGCATAGATAAATATATATGTAGCAAGCTACTCTCTAGCGATCGTAGACGTCTATGGTGTCACCTTACCTGTCATTTTTAACTTTTTTCTTAGGTTAGTCTGTGGCTGTGGTAGTGGACGGTGGTGGTAGTAGTGTGATTGCGATTTTCTTTTTTCGATATTCGCGACTTGTGCTCATTTTTTAGTGTCGTGTATATAATTATTTGTTAAATGTCGTGACAGTGGTGCAAAATGCAGTTTTATAAGGAAAGGATTCTTAACGCTGCACAGTTAAAAAGACTCAGTGAACATAAATATTCGTGCACCAGTGCCAGCATATTGGACGCATGGCTCCAACCTTGGTGGTGCTGGCTAGTGTCAAAAACGCCGCTATGGCTCGCTCCGAATCTCATTACAATTTTAGGTCTTATAATTAATATAGTCACAACGTTAATTTTAGTCTGGTAAGTACCTGTTAAAGTTATCCGTAATGTACATTTTCGCAATTAGTGTCACGGGTAAACAAGCGGAACAACTTTCATTTTTGCTGCAAGCAATTGCAAGATACCGTTGTTTTCTCATCTCTAACCTACATTCTACAACATTCTAATGTCGTATAAACGTTAATTAATTAATAATGTTGTCATCGTCATTCAGTACTTACAGTGCGTATGTTTACTTGATGTACGTATGAAATCGAAAGTCGTATGATTGGCTGCAGTTATGTCGCGCCACTATGTGCAGATAAGATATTCGTAGTAAAATATAATAATGTGATATTGTTGCGATAATTTTACATAATAATATATGTAACATTTATTGCATTGATGACATAAAACAGTGTTAGAAGCTTTTTTTGGGCTACCCAAGAATTCAGTTTAAAAGTCTTGTTGGCGAAATTATTTTATTGTACATTTGCATCATTTAAACAAATACTTTTTTTATAATATAATTATAAATTGCTTTAACAAATATTACTGTTCAAAGATTGCATTTGAGTATTTCTGTAATTATTATTCAGCAATGTAATCTACATATTTAGTCCATTGACACAATATTAATAAAGCAAAGAACATAAAGAAACAGTTTCTCAAAAGTTTTTTTAAATCAGAATTCCCATTCAAGATATCACATTAACTGTTGAGAACCAATAAAAGATGTTAAAGTTAGCATCCAGGTGTCATAAAATGGTAAACTTTTGTAGAAAACTAAATATTTCTTGATAATTGAATTTTACATTATGAAAGATGAAATCGTACATTTACATCTTTGATGTTATTATTATTATTATTATTTGGTCTATTTGGCCCTTGGTATTGTGATTATGTCACAATAATTCTGCCAATGTCCGGTCCTTGGTCTGTCGCACCTTGTCTTTAGGCTTTTCGGTGGAAAAGGAGTTAGCGGTTATTAGGTGAAAATATGGATAAAAACAAAGCATCTAAATACATAAATTATGGACCACACAATATAGAGCAAACATCTAGTTATAGGAGAGAATTAGCCTGGGCAGGGAATAGAGAATTAGTTTAAGCTAAATTTAGTACACGATAATTAGAGTTTAATATTATACATTTGAATATATTTTGAGATCATATTGACATATATGGAATTGGGGATAGTTAAGAGGGAATTGATATTCATTGGTCGAGGGATTGTGTTGGGAAGAATGTCATATAAAGAAATTGGGTGATTTTGGCAATTAAAGAAAATGTGGTCTGGGGTACCTTCATCCAGTCCACATTCACAGAGGGAATGATCTTTGATTCTAATTTTAGCTAGAAATACAGGAGTGCAGGCATGCCCAAGCCTTAAACGGCAGATTGTAGATGTGATTTGTTTGTTCAAAAAGCTAAATTTAAAGAACCAAGGTTTTGGAGGGATTTGGGGTTGAATTTTACCAAAGTGACAACCTTTAATATGTCTGGATGTGCTCCATTCTCTGTTCCAAGAGTTCTTTAATTCAATTTGAGCTAATGACATTAGATCATGAGAGTAAATCATTAAATGAGAAGGACAGCCAGTATCAACAGCTCCTTTGGCCCAAGAGTCAGCCTGTTCATTTCCTTCTATACCACAATGACTAGGAATCCACACAATCTCCACATCAAGCCCACTCTTATTACAATTTAGTATGAGTTCCTTAATTTTCAGTATTAATGGGGAGATGGAATTCATTTTAAATATATTGCTCTGTAATGACATTAGGCAGCTTTTTGAATCAGTAAATATAACTGACTTAGGAATTTTATGGGAAAGAATATAGGAAATAGCCTCATATATGGCTACAGCTTCCCCAGTAAAAACAGAAGCTTGAGGAGGACATCTATAATTAAGGACAATTTTGTATTTGGGGATCCAGACTGCGGAACCGACACATTTGAATGGAGACAATTTGGAAGCATCAGTAAAAATATATAGCCAATCAGACCATTTTTTTGCCACAAGGTTGTAGAAAGTTCTGTTTGCAGTGGGGGAATTTTTATTAATGTTTAAATTCAGAGTGATTTTAGGGTTTATTAATATAGCTTCATAGCTGGTTTCAAAATAGGGTAGAATTAGGGATGTTACACAAGGATAACCAATATTTTTTAATCTATTTAGAGATTTAAGAATAGGGGGCCAGCTTTTATTAAACCAGTAGGAGTTGTTTACAGCTAATAGTAGCAAGGATTCTAGTTTACGATGTAAGGGGTGAGATGATAGTTGTAGAGTTTTTGAGAGAAATCTATCAGCTAGAAACTGTCTTCGTAAAGAGAGAGGGGGATCAGCACATTCTACTTGTAAAGCATTTTTAGGAGTTGATTTCATTGCGCCTGTGATAATACGTAAACATCTTGCTTGGATAACATCAAGTCTATTAAGGGCCGATTTGTTGCAGGGCTCCAAAAGAAAAGAGCCATAGTCGAAGTGACTGCGGATGATGGCATTGTATAGGATTTTTTGACACATGGGGTGAGAACCCCACCATACGCCTGAAAGGGATCTAAGAATATTAACACCTTTCTCACATTTGTCACAGATGTAATTAAAGTGAGCAGTACCAGTCATATGACAATCTAAGAAAATACCTAAAAATTTTACTTTGTTAACAACTGGAATAGATTCACCATTATATGAGATATCAATAGTAGGGAAAACACGTTTTCTACTAAAGGTTATTGTTTTGCTTTTAGAAGCTGAAAGAGAGAGGCCATGGTCAGTAAGCCATTGATTAAGATAATATAAGCCTCTGTTAAGATGATGGGAGGCAGTTAGGATATCAGGAGCTGTTACATAGATAGCAAGATCATCTGCATATTGTAATATGTCACAGAAAGATGAAATCGAATGTTCAAGGTCATATGTGTAGATATTGTAAAGAATAGGGCTTAAGACCGAGCCCTGTGGTAGACCCTTCCAGATTGTTCTGGGCGAGGTTAACATTCCTTTATTGCGAATTTTGATAGATCGTCCCATGAACAGATTGTAAATGAAGTGTACAGTCTTCGCAGGGATGTTCAGATGAAGCATTTTCTGCCTGAGCACTGGAAGAAGAACACTGTCATAGGCAGATGATATGTCCAGGAAACAACCCACCAAGTATTCATTTTTAGAAAAGGCCAACCTAATATCTGTAGTTAGGATGCTCAAACTATCTAAAGTGCTTTTACCTTTACGAAAACCAAATTGACTTTTTGCAAGGATGTTATTATGTTCCAGAAACCATTCAAGTCTGTTTTTAATTAAATGTTCTAAAATTTTGCAAAAAGTAGATGAGAGTGCGATTGGGCGGTAGGAAGAAGCTTCTTTGGGATCTTTTCCGGGTTTAAGGATAGGTATAACAATTTGGTTTGACCAAGACAGAGGAATATTAGATGATATGTAGATATTGTTCAGAATTTGGAGAAGAATTAATTTACCTTTAAGGCTTAATTTACATAAACACGCATAGGGTATGCCATCTTCTCCTGGAGAAGAGGATTTTAAGCCAGATAGCACAGACTGTAATTCGGACAATGAGAAGATTATCTCATTATTGTTGATGTAAGACGGGACTGGAATGGGTGGGCATATTGTATATTCATTAGGGACAAAAGGAGGAGCTAACATATCAGAGAAGACTTCTAACCATGGTAAAGAGTTATCAGAAATGTTGGAATCAGAAAGAAGGGAGCCACGAAATTTTTTTATATTTTTCCAAACTATTGTTACTGGTGAATTAGGGGACAAGGATTCACAGAATTTTTTCCATCCATTTTTTTTCTTTTTGGAAAGTAGTCTCCTTGTTTGAGCGGAGGTTTTTTGAAATTGTATAAAATTATCGGTTGTCATACAGTGATTATAAAGCTTTTCTGCAGCTTTTCTCCTTTTAATCATAGTGGTGCACTCAGCATCCCACCATGGAGGGGAGGATAGGTTCTTGCTGTGGGGTTTTTTGGATGGGATAAATAAGTCAGCTGCTTCAGTTATATATTGTACCAATAGAGAGTACGAAGTTATTGGGTTGGTTGAGAAGTCAACCTGCATTTGCGCAAATTTAGTATCTAAAAATTTAGTGAAATTAGTCCAATCTGCGTCTTGGAGCTTATATTTAAGGAGGGGCATAGTAAAGGGTAAAGGAATAACCGCATTGGGTTTGGTAATAAGAATGGGAAAGTGATCACTTCCATATGATTGATTGAGGGTTTTCCAAGAAAGCTGAGGGGCTAGACTAGGAGAACAAGCTGTTAGGTCGACAGCAGACCTAGGGTCTAGTCCTGGGTATACTCTATGAGTGGGGGAACCATTGTTGATAATGCAAGCATTAATGTCTTCAAAAATTTGTATAAGTTCTGAAGAGTATATGTCACAAAAATGTGACCCCCAAGATACATGATGTGAATTAAAATCACCGGTAATAATAAAAGGGGGAGGTAACAAAGAGAAGAGAGAGGATAGTTCTTGAATTAAGTGGGTATTTGGATGAGGGATATATATTGAAATAATGTTGATTCCTGCAATTTTTGCAGCTACGGCATTAATGTGTTGGCTATGAGGAGGGAGTGCAATTTGAGAGAAGGGTAGGGATTTTTTTATGAGTAAGCAACAACCCCCATAACCATCATTTCTATCTTCACGGAGGCAAGTAAAGCCTTGCAAGCGAAATTTGGAGTTAGGTAGGAACCATGTTTCTGAAATTGAAGCAACAGAAATTGAATGTTTATTTATTAGGAAGATGAGTTCAGATTTTTTAGGTTGCAAGCTTCTACAGTTCCATTGAAGGAGATGGAGGTCTTTTGTTTGAGTCATTTATATTATCTATTAAACTAGCTAAATTAAAGATTTTTTCTGCAACGTTGTTCGGTAGTGAATCTGACATTTTCAAAATTAAATTATTGAGGAGGGAAATTAGGCATTCAACAAGATTTTCATTTGGAGATATTTGGTTGTGCGTGTTGGATAAAGCGCATCCATTTGGAGTAGAGGATGGGCAGTCTGCAAC